ATAATAGATAGAAATAAAAATCATGAAGACAGGATACTCCATAAAAACTCACAAAGAAATCTTACACCCTAATCAAATACATTACATATACAACTCATCTTAATTAAAGAGTATTACATAACAGCACCTGAAGTCTTTGGTGAATTTTTGGAGAGACTAATCCAAACTAGATTCACAAAAATGTTGCATGCTACAGAAAGTTTACTTAATACAATAGTAATTAAAGTAATCTACATTACAAAGAAATTGTCAATTTGAAAATAATTTTTTAAAAAAAGGTAAGACCAGTAAAGTTTTAAGTTTGTTTCGGGCTTTCTTCCTCAGTGGTAGAGGGTTTGTTGGAGTGCTGTATTACTCGAATATGCTGACTTTGCACTTGTGTAGAAGGTATGGTTCTAGCCTGGAAGAAAATTTTTAAAAATCTATTAGAAATCTCATTAACAAAATGTAAGAGAAAGTATATCTTAAAGTACAAATTGTTAAATACCATGAAAGTTTCTCTAGCTGGAGAAGGAGCTTGGAACTGTTGGGAAACTGGGACAAAGTACTGTGGTAGAGTTTGAGGGAGCATTATCACAGGAGGAACTAAGTACGTGGCAGAAGGAGAAGAGTGAGGGACTGCACAGGGTTGACTAATTGGTCGGTAATATCCTGCATAACCATCTGGACCTGCCTCCATAGAGGCATTGGTAGCTGAAGCGGATCTCATTTGTTCATGATCACCATTAGAACTAGAAGCTGATGGGACAGGATGATAGAAGTGATGATGTGATGTATTTGATGTTTGAGATCTTCTAGACTGTGATGGTCCTCCTATTTCTATTCCATAAGAAGAACTAGCAGATAATGGGGTCTGCTGACTATTTGTACTCTCCTGCCAACTGTCCTGCAAATCCTCACTACTTATTTCTGTCTTGACAGTAATCCCTTGCCTTTGAGATGAGATGCAAATATTAGGTAAAAAGGGTGGCCTGGGTGTTCCTTGACGGCAAGGCATGTCAGGTGGTACATTTTGTTGGGGTGATGAACATTCCCCATTGTCAGGCACTTCTCTCTTGACACCGGGTCCGGGAGACATCAATGAAAAATTATTTGGAGATCTGAAGAGAAGAGGTGAGTGACCTGATGGGCCACTACAAATAACATGTATTGGCGCACTT